TTATAAGGGTGATATAGAAATTTTTTACGTGATTAAGTACTAGTTAAAAGATTCGAACCTGAAACCTCCAGATTCAAGACTAATCGTATTACAATATACCAACCTCTTATTTGTATGTCAAGACCTCAGCCAACTCAAAGACGAGATTTAACTAAACAGCTAAAAGGGATCACACCACTCATTAGCAGAGTTGGCAAGGAGAATTTAAAACCTCCCGAGGATATAGGGAAGAGGATTTGGGTGGATTCGCCTATTGTGCCTCAACGAAATGTGAAGAACGAAGATAAGGGTGGCAGGGGACGTGAAAAGAGATGAAAAGTTTGACCTAGAATACTAAAAATATTAATGCAGATGGTAAATATACAACACTACTAAGAAAAATAAATAAATATAATATAGACATACTAGCTATTTTAAAGAAGAAAAAAAAGTTGCTTAAGAAGCAATTCCCTAGTTGGGAGTGAAAGGTGAAACACAATTTTACAGGATTGGGGAAGATGTGGTTGCAATGGAAGCCGGAAAGCAAATTTAGTGTCCTTCACTCCTTGGATCAGTTCATTCAAGTTACGGTGGGAGATAATCCGCCATTTTTTGCCACATTTGTGTATGTGTTAAATGATGAGAGTAGTAAACTGTTATTATATGATGAGTTGCGTAGGACACAAGTCACTCATGAGCCTTGGATGATATTAGACATCCCTCTGAAGCATCAAATTTCCCCCAACCTGACTCTAGTATACAAAATTTCAGTAAGTGGATTGTGGATTTGCAACTGGAAGAGCAGCAAGCTAGTCCTTGGTATACCTGGTTGAACAAACAGTTAGCTAATCCAATTTCTAAGAGACATGACAAGATACTTGTCAATTTGGAATGGCTAGAAAAATTAAAGAAAGTAAGGTTTATTTCCATTCCCCGAGAGTGTCAGACCATTATCTCATGTATGTGGAAACTGAAGCCCCTATGAAGTCTGTAACCAACCCTTTTAAACTCTTAAAGTTTTGGATTGATCACCTAAATTTGATGATCTTCTGAAAGAGGCGTGGAGTAGTGTGGTGACAGGCCACCCATTAATAAGGGTCTGCAAGAAACTGGGGAATTTGGAAAATCTGTTGAGGAAACTAAATAGAGAAGAAGTGTGGTGACAGGCCACCCATTAATAAGGGTGTGCAAAAAACTGAAGAATTTGAAAAATCTGTTGAGGAAACCAAATAGAGGAGTTCTCAGATGATGCAATGCAGGAACTCTATGTTCTGTTGAATGCTGATGAGTGCTTTTTTAGGAAAAATTCGAGAGGGATATGGTTAAAAGCTGGAGATACAAATTCTCCATACTTTCATCGCTCAGTTTGAACAAAATAGAAAGAAGTAAGATTCGAGTACTGAAGGATGAGCAGGGGTTCCAAACTCAAGAGGTTGATCAGATGTGTCAAATAGCAATAAGGTCCAAAGTACCTTTTAGATATTCATGAGATCTCATAGCTCTCATTTGTACGCAACATGTGTGACAACCCAATGTGGAGTGCAGGTTGGGAAGTGGTGCTCGGGCTAAGACGAATCTGCCCATCAACTCCCCCACATGTGACCTTGAAAGGGAAGGCTATGATTCATCTGGTCTTGGTCATATGAGGGAGAGAAGCTAGTTTGCAAAAGCTTTATGCAATGCGTGTCAATGTCGAAAAAGGAGACCAATAAACGACAACCCCTAAATCTAAAGAGAGAATAAAGAGCACCTTCCAGAGTTCATGTGCTTATTTGTTGTTTGAGAATAAAAGGCTTGGATGTCAGTATTCCTATTACCTAAGGTAGGTATTACAAAGGTGGAAAAGATATGTAGTAACTTCATTTGGGGGATCGAAACTGACTTCAAGTTAAGAGCTAATATGGTACCGCAGAAGCTTACTTTTCCAAAGAAGGAGGTTGGATTGGGTTTTTGTGACATGAACAGTTTGAATGTTGCATTGCATATATGGTGAGGCATATTTGGCCGATCTTATTGCGGCATGGATCTCTCTACGTTAACAACTATAAATTGAAGGGTAAGAATTTCTGGGATTATACTTATAGTTATGGTTCCTGGAACGGGAGGAGAACTCTTAAAATAAGATATTCAGTTGGTTCCCTGTGTTTAATGGAATGATTCCGTGGAATGGTTCACCTATGATCAATTACTAGGAAAATTGTATGGAAATGCAAGGCTATTCCCAGGAAGAGGGTTTTAATTTGGTTAGTTATTAAAGGGAACATAAACACAAAAATGAAGATGCTAAAATGGAGATATAAAGGTTCTCTTGGTTGTTGCTTATGTAATGTTGGGTTGGAAGACATAGAGCATTTGTATAGCAGACTGTTTGTTAACAAAGCAGTTGTTAATTAAACTCTTCAGCAGATTCTCACAACATTGTCTTAGTCTTAGCTGGGAGGGTGAGCTTAACTAGGTGGTGAGTACTTTTGGAGGCACTGATGAGACTATTAAAATAGGAAGATTATCTGGCAATCATGGGTGAGTCACATATGGAGGAAATGATGTTGCCGCCTGTATGCAAGTAACAATAGAGATATTTATAGCTTGCTAAAGACTATTAAAACTGAGGTTGAATGTTTCGTGGGCGCAATTTTTTTTGGTTTGCTTGAGCAATACTGTTTGGTCTCCTATAAATGGGCTATAGTAGTAGTTTTCTTTTTCATTATTAGTGGTGTTTGCCTGTATTCCCCTTTGTGGACTGAAAGCACCTCAAATAGGTGTTATTTAGCCCCTATTCTCAAAGCATTTGCATGCTAATTCACCGTGTCGAGGCCACATGTCAAGTTATTTATGCTCCATATTCGTTCATATTTGCAAAACATGCGTTTTGGCATAGGTATTATTGATATGTAGGTTTTCATAGGGGAATTGACCCCAATTTGTCGGATTTTGTGATTTTGTGATAAAATTCTAGGTCTTATATGCATTCGAGATTTTTAGGGAATCGATTGGAGTTCATGCGAGCACGATTGGGAAGCATATGAGCAAGAAGGGAATAAAAGGAACAGGTCACGACTACACGTCACGGTCGAGACCAAGTTCGCAGCCTGAAGATCGCGGTCGTGAACAGTTATCCGTGAACCGCAGAAGGCGACCAATAAGAAGGCAAAAAGTTTCCCCAGTTGAATCGAGGGCATGGCGTATTTTGACAGCAAAATAAGATCGCGCCCAGGACACAAAGATCGCGACCACGATCTTATGAAAGAGGCCGCTATCTCGTAATTTAAAGACGGAGTCCAAATGCGTCATTTCAGGCGATTCAGGGAAGTTCCAGTAAGGTCCCAGCCGTGACCATCGCGTCACGGCGTGACCGACCAACTTATCCATCCAAATCTTACCCAAAAAAAACTGTTAACAAATAAACTTAGCCATCCAAATAATAAGGATTAACCCCTCGCCACAAGCGAATATGGATTATGAACAATTTCATACAACCTTTTATATATTTTCCTAACCCATTTCTTCGAATCCTCCAATAATATATAATAGAAATTTGTCTATTTTTCTCCATTTCAAATTTTCTGCAATGAGAGTGAATGTAATAAGGACACTTTGGTCTTTACAACTAATTATTTATTTCATATAAAAATATTAATATCAGGATTTAAACCCGGGTCTCTTTAAACAAAGTCAACAATCACAACCAATTACACTAAATAAATTTGTTGTATCTTTTTGAATACAAAACATACACGAAGTTAAACTCTGAGAATATGAGGACTTTTCCATCATGATTAGCAAGCCCACTAAGTCTACCATATGTAGTATTCAATTTAAATTTTGTGTTTTTTTTATCTTTGTTCTTATCACTTTCTAACTTTCTCTGAAATTCCCTACAGCGTGCAATAGTTTGCGCCACTTTCACTTGCCAGTACAAGGCCGTCTTTGAAAATTAATCTTCCGATATGTCTTGGCACTACGAATTTATTGTTGGGAATTTAAGCTGGGCAAGTAGAAGATGTCAACTCTGATATCAATCCGAACAGAATCGAGTTCAATAAATGGAGTTGCAGAAGGAGGATTAGAAATTGATTTTTTGGTTGAAACATGCCTCTTGAAATTGACGATAGAGTGGATAAAATTTTGGTTGTACGACAAAGAGTGGTGGCTATTGGATCTTTAGGTTTATGATTTTTGCATCTATCACAACCTATTTCTGTCTTAAAAAGAGGAATCATTGATGGATTGATGTACCGAAGGAGCTCGATTCAACCTACTGGAACTGATAGATAAGGAGTATCTAATTTTGTGTCTTATTACTTTGATCGAGTCTGTTAGTATATTGGAGGTAACCCTAATTATTCGTTTGCTCTCAAGTTTTGATGGTCCTCTTAGCTGAGTTGTTAGTATATAATTGACTTGAATCAACAACTCTCCATTTCTTTAGGATTAGTGGCATGTTTTTCCTAAAATGAGAGCATTTTTTAATCAATATACGATTATCTTTTGTAAAAAAAAAATCCCTTATGTAGGATTGTGAGGTTGATTTCTACAGGTCGTGTGAGCTTTTATGCTCTATCTTTCTTGACAATCAAGTGATCAACTAATCAATAGCATTTTAACGGGGGCTTTATTATCACTATGAAAATGGGATCAATGATACATTTTTATATTTCATATTCTTAAATGATTGTGATGTTTCTCTGAATTTTCGACCTATATATTTTTTCTTTATATATTATTTCGATCGAAAGATTTTCAATAAAATTAAACAGATTGATAGACTTAAATGTAACATAAAAATATAAATAATCAAAGCCTGTTTTAGCCCAAGTCTTTTTTTTTTTTTTTTGCTAATAAGTCACTCAATTAAGAGGAATAAAAATGTACAAAGTTAACGGGTACATAACCAACGAGCAAAGTCGAACCTCACTTGTTGTCTTGGCCCAAGTCAAGGAGGATGATCTGCTCAGTAGCCGTTGAGCTTGTATATTGGGCTGGCCGGCCCAACGTTCAGAAAATTTGCCACGAGACATACCGCCTTTCCCACTTTCCCCCGCCTCGGCGTATATATTTCAAGAAAGGAGCCGTTGGAAGAAGAACAAAGGTCATTTTTTCAGTTATCCGATTTCCTTCCCCGATTTCCCATTACTCTAAACTCTCAAGACAGCAACCCGAGTTCTCAGAGTCTGTGAAGCAGTTCCAGAAAGATCAATCGCGCTCGTGTCCGTAAGTGTCTTCTTCCTCTTTGAGATTTCTGTTCGTTGCTATCGCTGCTTTTAGGGACTCGAGTTCTGGGTTCTCAAAGTTCAGGAACTTAGTAGCAATGATTCTTTCCCCCCTTGGAACCCACTTAGAGAATCGATCGTTTGGAAGCGTACAATCGCTGTTCTGTCCTGATTTTTCTACAGGATTATTGGAAAATTACCCTAGGTCTCAGAGTTGCGAAGCAAGTTTAGGAAAGGGTGATCAATCTCTGTGACTGTAAGTATCTTTCTCGTGAGAACCCTCTGTGTTTCTCGTTGATTTTAGGGGTTCAAGTTTTGGGTTCCTCTGATTCTAGGGATTCAAGTGTTGGGCTTTTCTGATTTTAGGGTTTCGAATTCTGGGTTCTTCTAATTTTAGGGATTTAAGTTTTTGGTTCTGATTTTATAGATTGTTGAGGGTTCCATTTCTGGGTTCTTCTGATTTTAGGGATTTAGCATAGATCGTGCCCACTTCGAATCCTTTTAGAGAATTTTGATCCATACGTGTGGAACTACAATTAACGACGTTCCATCACTGATTTTTCTGGGTAATTAGAAGTTTAGAACCACCCTTCGGAATCTTACGACAATGGCGACAAGAGTTGGCGGAGGTGTTGCTCCGGTTCGAACTGTTGACTACAAAGGTAATTGACTATTTCTCAATTCTCATCTTTTACTGTACCATGTGTGTCTACTTCTTGGCAACTCGGCTAGGTTTTCAACTTACCCAAAATTATCTGCTGACTGACTGAAAACAGATGTCTCCAAGACATCCAAGAAAGGAGGAGGGTTAGGTGGGAGGACACCGCTGGGTGATTTGTCAAACGCATTGAAGAACTCTTCTTCTCTGAACAACACATCCAAGAAGCAGCAGCAGACTCGTTCAGGAATTGCAGGATTGAATGGAAAAAAGAAATCTGCTGTTCTCGCTGGAGGAGCCAATGCTGCAAGCGGGAAAACGAGTGTTAAAGCTTCTGGGAATAGGAAGGTCCTTTCTGATATCTCAAACTCGTCCAACGTGCCAAAGGGAAGTGATATATCGCAGAAGAAGGCGGTGAAGAACAGCAAGAGGCTGAGTGTTGTGCAGGAGGAAGACCCAATGCATCCATGTGCAATTGGTGAGGAAGGGTTTCTGCACAATCATGACGAATGCATCAAGGCCCAGAACAGACAGATGGATTTGGATGAGTTCTTGAAGATCCTTGGTTTAGACAAAGGTAAATCAATTGATTCACTGTTTGTTTGTTATGCATGATATCATAATTCCTACCATGTTGAGTTTCATTGAACACCCTTTGCTGTATCTTTTTCTCCAGATTGTTCTGAGCACTTCGAGAACCAGCGTTCAAACCATGTAGAGGTCAGTTGGAAGAATATCCCTAGCTACCCAATTGGGGCAAAACCTTCATCTAACCATGTTAACATGTTTGCTTCATTTTACCCTGTGTTTCAGCCTGGCAGTCCTAAGCGGCACTACGAGCTAATGGAAGAAGAGGAAAGTTGGGACTTTGAGTTTCCAACAACGCGCAATCTTCATTCTCCCCCCTGTTCCAGTCCATCATCGCCCAAATCCGATTCAAGCTGGTTGGATAATGACCACGGCTTCGTCAACTTCCAGCTGATCGCTTCTCCTTAACTGCTGTTGATCAAACTGGAGCATTGGAAATCTACCCTTCCTGAAGCACTAGATGTGAATTTTGTTGTTGAAACTTATTGAATGTTGCCAATTTTGTTTGGCATCTCTCTAGGTTCTCTTTGATCAATGTCCTTTGACTTTTGTTAATTGATCAAATCGTGCTTAGCTGCTGACCTAAAGCACTTGACTGTAGCCTGTGGCCAGTAAATAGTAATGTAGACGGCTTCTTCTTCCTTCTTATGTCAGTAGTGGATTTGCTAGAGCTTCTCATTTTTGGGCCTGAAGGTCCATTTGGAACGCTTATTATGGATTTACCAATTTAGAACTTCGATCCAACAACTCGTATTCTTGGGCTCATTAAACAGGTGCAGCCCAATCAGTTGTGAATCAGCTAAACTGCTTTCTCTCTCTCTCTCTCTCTCCGCGCTTCTTCGCAAAGCCTCATCTTCCTTTCCAAAGCAGCTGCTCCCAATCTGCTAAACCCCACGGGAAAGGCTTCCCTGCTTCTCCGCTCGCCGAGAAATGGTAGTAGTAGCGTCTCTCCGGCTGCCGTCGCTGACCTCTCTCTTCTCCGCCTCTTCTCGGTCATCTCATCGGGCTCCGGCTGCTCTATTCCGCCGGCGCCACAGCTGCCGGCGGCAGCCTTTCCTCGCCGCGGCGAAGTTTTCGGCCCAGAGTGCCGCGTCCAGTCCGCCGGAGACCACCGAGGAGCTAGCTGTAAACCAGAAGAAGAGTAGTAAGACCAACCAGGACCGAGTCATCACCCCTCGTTCGCAGGACTTCAATGCTTGGTACCTTGATGTGATTGCTAATGCTGAGCTCGCTGATTATGGCCCCGTTCGTGGAACTATGGTCATTCGCCCTTATGGTTACGCCATCTGGGAGGCAATTCAGGTGCGGTAAGCTGCTATGAAGATTTCTCATATGGTTTTTATGCTTGAATATAACTGGTTTGAATTGGTTTTGCTATTGATTCAGGACTATTTGAATGTCAAATTCAAGGAGACCGGGCATAGCAACATGTACTTCCCACAGGTAATCCTGTCTTCCCCAATTCACAGCTTGTATGTGTCAGATAAGCCATTTATGCTTGTCAGCAAGCAAGGAATCGTGATTCAATTGTGGTTGCAGTTTATACCGTATTCCTTTATTGAAAAAGAAGCTAGTCATGTTGAGGGATTCAGTCCTGAACTGGCTGTTGTAACTATTGGTGGAGGAAAGGAACTCGAAGAAAAGCTTGTGGTACGAAGATTCAACCTTGGCCTTTCTTGCTTCAGAATCTAGTACCCTAGTGTTACATGTTGAGAGATGTGAATGTTGGTTAAGTTTGTTAAACACAACTGTGGTCTGAGTTTTGGTCTTTGATTTCTGCACTCGTCGAGGTTGTTGTGGCAGGTTCGACCCACCAGCGAAACCATAGTGAATCACATGTTTACTCAGTGGATTCATAGTTATCGTGATCTGCCTCTATTGATCAATCAGGTGAGGGTTTAAAATCTTATATGAAGGGTTTGAGATATCTGGTTAGCTCATCTCATTTGTATATGAAGCTTTGTTCCGCTACTGCAGTGGGCAAATGTCACTAGATGGGAAATGCGCACGAAGCCATTTGTGAGGACTCTCGAGTTTCTGTGGCAGGAGGGTCATACTGCTCATGCAACTCCAGAGGAGGCAGAAGAAGAGGTTTGCATCTCATTTGTTTACAAGAATGTGCAGTTGTATGCAATCATAGTATCTAATTTATTTACTAGGACGTGCATTTGTACGCAAACTTAGTATTTTGCTTATGGGCTTCCTACTGCTGAACTGTAGGCTATGAAAATGATTGATGTCTATACAAAGTTTGCTTATGAGGAGGCTGCGATACCAGTGGTAGTAGGTAGGAAGTCCAGAGAAGAAACATTTGCCGGAGCTGTTCGAACATATACAATAGAGGCTATGATGGGTGATAGAAAGGCCTTACAGGCTGGAACCAGCCATAACCTCGGCCAGAACTTTTCTCGGGCTTTTGATACGCAGGTAACTTCTGGATGTTTATTGTAAGATCTTTACTCTTAAAAGTAATGTTGAGAATTGGATATCCTTTTCAGTCAACCTTCATCACGCTTGCAGAAAGCTATAAAAAAAACTCAACGTTTGAATTAGTTTCTTCAACATGATCCATCGTTTATTCGTTTGATATGATGTATATATGACTTTTTTCTAACTGTGTTAAATCACCATAGCTTGATGGTCAACTTTGTCAAACTGTGATTGGAGTAAAATATTAACTAGCGTGAGAATATTTGGACAGTAGAAACAATAGATGGTCAGAGAAATGTATTTCTCGCTTTTTTGGTCTTGGTATTCTGCATTCTGTCCTCCATGTCTATATAGTCCCGGTACTTGAGTTTTTTAGGTAGTTTTCTGTGATGGGCTTTAGTTTGTGGAGACTGAAGTTGATACTGCATGAACTTCTGTAGCAAGTAACTTAGTTTAGTTTTCAGTACCGTGTCCCGATGTTTCTTGTTGCCCACTGCTTTGACTGTGTAACTTTCTATACTTGTTTTAGCTTCCTTCTCACTGTTTCCTGTTTGCATTTAGTCCGGGTGTCTCCATTTATTCGGATCTCTTTAATCAGTAGGGTCATGGTTACAGTCAAGTACCAAGGAACTTTCTTTGTTATGAAATAATCGATCTTCTGAATCCTTCCGGGACCAATTTGAGTTTCCTGCATTAATACTGGCTTAGTTGCTTTGTTAAATGGCAATCCAAATATTCCACATACGAGAAAAAAAGGTTATATTCCAAATAGTCCACTTATGTTCTTTTTTCTCTTTATTCAGTTTATGGATGAGAATGGCCAGAGGCAACATATATGGCAAACATCATGGGCTGTCAGTACAAGATTTGTTGGTGGGATTATCATGACACATGGAGATGATGCTGGCCTAATGCTTCCTCCCAAACTTGCACCAGTTCAGGTACTTGTGCTCCACTCTACCGGGACACTTTGATTTGCTCTTTTCAAGGATCTTATTAGATATGAAAACATTTCAACCCTGATATATTTTCACCCAAGGATACCAAATAGCAGTATATATTTTCCTGTTAATACATTTGAACTTACTTGTATAAAATCCCTCTTGCCTTTACAAGTGATAATGAATAGGGAAAGGGAACTTGTATTGCAATTGCCGTGGCCTCCTGATATATGGATTTGCGTTACAGGTTGTGATCGTGCCCATATGGAAAAAGGACGATGAAAAGGTTGGGGTTCTGAATGCTGCGTCCTCTGTAAAAGAAGTTCTGCACTCTGCTGGTGTGAAAGTCAAACTTGATGACTCAGACACGAGAACCCCTGGATGGAAGTTCAATTTCTGGGAGATGAAGGTAACTCTTCTAAACCTAAGCTATACACATAATTGTTAGCCCCCAACTTCGAATCCATCAAGTAAAATAGTTGGCCCGGGTTTTCACAGGGGGTCCCTATTAGGATTGAGATTGGTCCTCGAGATGTTGCAAGCGGAAGTGTTGTGATATCAAGGAGAGATGTTCCTGGAAAGCAAGGAAAAGTTTTTGGAATATCAATGGAGCCTTCAACTTTAGTAGGTTACGTAAAAGACAAGCTGGATGAGATCCAAGCATCCCTGCTGGCTAAAGCCACATCATTTCGAGATAGGTATATTCTCGTCCTAGTATCGTCTACAGAACAGCTCTGTGATCTTCCTTCTGATTAGACATAGGACATATAAGATTTTTTTTTTCCATTCATTGCTTTTCACTCGAGAAATCAAATTCACTGCTTCCTTCTCACTCGTTTGCAGTAACATTGTCGACGTGAGCTCGTATGATGAACTCAAAGAAGCAATATCGCAGGGCAAATGGGCAAGGGGTCCTTGGTCCGCAAGGTAATCGTATTATTCTCATCTTCCTTCTGCCATTCTCTTTTTCAGTTCCCTTCCCCTCACATTTGTTGCTCCCTCGTCGCAGCGATGAAGACGAAGCAAGAGTGAAAGAAGAAACCGGAGCAACCATCCGTTGCTTCCCGTTCGAACAGCCCGCTGGAACCAAGACTTGCTTGATGACAGGACAACCAGCTGAAGAAATCGCCATTTTCGCCAAGTCCTACTAGCTACAATACTCTGTCCTATTGCTGAAAGGGTAACACCTTTCCAGTTCCCAGACCACATCTACTCATTACCCAAATTGGCCAAAGGAAAATTAAGTTTAAAGCGATTCGGAGTTTGATACATGGGACGTGAACATGTCTCTTGTTGCCGTTAGTTATTGTACAAAATGGTTACAATTTTTTAATTTTGCACGTTTCAGTCAAACAAGTTTGAGTGAATAACAAAGAGATCAATCCGTCTACTTCCATCCGAAATTCCTTTACTTTTGCCATCAGCATGATATGTCATAAAAAATATTAATACTCTAGCTGAAACCAAACAAACCTTCTGGTGGGATACAAGCAATCTCAGGAACCGATCCATCGTAAAGAGGTAGAAACTAGGAAGGCTTGTGCAGGCGGAGGAGAAGCTGACATGGAACATAACAAAGACAATGTAGAGATGGTGTGTGTAGAAGAAGAGCTCGAACATATCTTCTGATGCAAGTAAAGCTTATCGCCCACATGACCAATCCAGCAATTACAACTGTTTCTCCGGCGACACTCGATACTAAGAAATCGTCCCATTTCAATATCTTCTCATCATCCCCCGTGTAACAGAATTGGTAAGTGATTTTCTACAGAAAAATGAATGTTTACATGTGTGATCTTCTTACCTTGGAGAGGCTGTTTTGTCTACGATCATAATCACAAGCTTGACAACTTTACCTCCCATCTCTGTGTTTCAAGTGCTACCAATTACTAAAACAACCAATCAAACATACTGATTTGAAAGCGTGAGAGCGATGCAACAGAGATGTCTTACACTTTCAATCCTTCGATTGCAGCTTCCTGGCTAGTAATGGCAACGGGGCGGGGCGGGTACCTCAATTCCCATGCCCTGTCCAACGCTACTACGGGACGGCGCGGGTAAAACCCGTGCGGGTACGGGGTGGGGCGGGTCGACCCACTCTTACATGTTATTCGGAAAAAATACAAGTAAATTTTAAATTTTACGATAAAACGAAGGGAAAAACACTTTAAGAATGACAAATAGTGATAATAGAATGGGTAATTGAGTCTAACAAGTTGAAAGATCGACTCTAACTAGTTGAAGAAAAGTCAAAATAGGAGAAATATGTATAGATATTGTAAGAAATTGAGATAAAATGAGTCTAAAACGGGGCGGGTGGGAAGTAGACACCCACCCCGCCCCACGCTACTGCCGGTCGGATAATACCCGTCACATCACGGGTCAGGTAATACCCGCGGGGCGGGTTGAAATTGCCATCACTATTCCTGGCGGACAGGGGCAAACATGGCGTGCAAGTAGGAAAAGATGGACAAACACAAGAGAGCTATGAAGCTTTGAATGGAATGGCTTATGGGTTTAGGGAAGTCTTATGACAGAGGAAAAAATCCCAAGTTACACATGTTTTTAAAAAAAATTCTCAAAATACACAAGTTATGAAAATAATTCCCAATCTACGTTAGTTTGGGCCATCACCGCTGTCGACGAAGACAGTGATTGCATCACTGTTGTCGACGAAGACAGTGATTGCATCACCGCTGTCGACGAAGACAGTGATTGCATCACTGTTGTCGACGAAGACAGTGATTGCATCACTGCAGTACACGGCCGCGGTGAAGGCCTGACCTGCGTCGAAACTTTAAACAAACGTAACTTTGTGCTCGGTTATCCGATCGTAGCGAAATTTTTTTTGATTCCGCATAATTTTTCGAGATCTTGCAAGCTGCAAATTGCCGTAGGCGGTTTGGTCCCGCCTTCGTCTCGAAAATATGTCGTTTGCTACCCCGAACGAGCCTTTTTTCGATTTCGTCAAACTTTGAACGACCATAACTTTGTGCTCCACAATCCGAAAATCATGAATTTTTTTTATTTCGCATAACTTTTTAAGGACTACAATATTTATTAGGAGAGAATTTTCAAAAAATGAATTATTTATGGATATAAGGGGTTTTGGGAATAACATTACCTTCCTTTTCAGGAATCCAAGTACATTCCGAAAATATGTCTATGATAAAAATTGTAGTCCTTAAAAATTTATGCGAAATAAAAAAAAATTTATGATTTTCGGATTGTGGAGCACAAAGTTATGGTCGTTCAAAGTTTGACGAAATCGAAAAAAGGCTCGTTCGGGGTAGCAAACGACATATTTTCGAGACGAAGGCGGTACCAAACCGCCTACGGCAATTTGCGGCTTGCAAGATCTCGAAAAATTATGCGGAATCAAAAAAAATTTCGCTACGATCGGATAACCGAGCACAAAGTTACGTTTGTTTAAAGTTTCGACGCTGGTCAGGCCTTCACCGCGGCCGTGTACTGCAGTGATGCAATCACTGTCTTTGTCGACAGCGGTGATGCAATCACTGTCTTCGTCGACAGCGGTGATGCAATCACTGTCTTCGTCGACAGCGGTGATGGCCCAAACTAACGTAGATTGGGAATTATTTTCATAACGTGTGTATTTTGAGAATTTTTTTTAAAAACATGCGTAACTTGGGATTTTTTCCTATGACAGACGAATTATTAGTCAGGGTAACGGCAAAAGAATCTCTTTGATTTTCTCTACTTTTGTTCCCTTTTCTACTCTCCTTTCACACTTTTGGATGTTTCAACTTAAAGAAGACTATGTTGCATATAAGACCAATTTCTCCAACCGAGCATATGTGTTCGTCGTTCTATTTCAGTAGGAATTTGTTTCGTCATTTTGGGTACCGATGGAGGGAAACAAAATTCTTTAATGATAAATTCGTATATTTGCATATTTTTTTGTCTTGTCTATATATTTAAATGACGCTTCTATTTGTGGGTACTTTCACGACCTTACTCTCAATCGTGCGGCCCTAGCTCTCAAATCCGTTAGAGCGCTAGGCAGCCTTTCTCTCAACTCACTTGCAAGCAAAGAAACAAGAACAAAGACAAAGGATTGGGAGAACTCTCTCGTGTGTATTACTCTAAAAAATGATGGGATGAGTTACAAGTGAGAGAGATGGCTCCTTATATAGGCCTCTCCTCATACAAGGCATCAATGCCCCTCATAATGTCCCTCTACATCAATACACCCCATTAAGTCCCCCTATTATGCACTCTATAAATATCACCCATTATGTGACTCATAAGTGCACCATTAAGCTCTCTATTAAGGTGGAGCATTCTAGGAGCATCTCTATGCTACTAGTCTTCCATAAATGCCACATGTGCAGCCGCCATGTTGTCACCTTGTTGGGGCCATGTCATCTGCCACACGTGACATCCTCCCCCATCTATGCTCGCGACGCCCTCGTCGTGTCCTCTTGATGGAATGCCTCGATCAAGTCCTTGTTCTTCCAAAGTGTGAGCTCTTTCTCCCAAGTTGCTTCACTCTCCGGAAGGTTGCGCCACTTGACCAAGTACTCCACAAAGCTTGGATGTACGCCACGACGAGGAATGACACGACGTGCCATGATTTCTTCAACTTCATGGTCGTTTGTCTTGGTGATGAGTGTTGGTGCGCGCTGCGACTCTCTTCGCTGCTCGTCCTCCTTGTCTTCTTGGAAAGCCTTGAGTTGGCTCACATGAAACACTGGATGGATCTCCAAGTGCGACGGCTCCTCCACCTTGTACGCCACCTTGCCAATCCTCTTCACGATGAGGAATGGCCCTTCATAGCGGCGAAGCAGTCCCTTGTGCACATTCTTGAGATGCTTGAAGCGATGAGGGTAGAACTTGACCATCACCATGTCTCCCTCTTCAAACTCTAAGTGCCGCCTCTTCTTGTCCGCCCATTTCTTCATCTTCTTACTAGCGCGGGCTAAGTAAGACTTGACCATCTCCATCTTCTCGTGCCAGCCTTTAGCGAACTTGTAGGCTGCCGGACTGTTGCCTCTATATCCCGTTGCCACCGTCGTAGGTGTCAAAGGTTGCTGCCCCGTCGCCAACTCAAATGGACTCGTGTTGGTCGACTCGCTACGGTGCAAGTTGTAGGAGAATTGTGTCGTATCCATCAACTTCACCCAATCTCGTTGGTTTGCACTCACGTAGTGCCGCAAGTACACCTCCAACAAGGCATTCACCCGCTCCGTCTGTCCATCGCTTTGAGGATGAAATGTCGTCGAGAATTTCAAGTCTGAGCCCATGATCTTGAACAGCTCTCGCCAAAATCTGCCCGTGAAACGCCCATCTCTGTCGCTCACAATGTTGCTAGGAATGCCCCAATACTTGACCATGTTCTTGAAGAATAGCCGCGTTGCATCCTCTGCCGTCATGTCTTTTGGCCCAGGAATGAACACTCCATACTTTGAGAACCTGTCCACCACAACCATGATGCAACCGCATCCATCGACTTTGGAAAGTCTGATGATGAAGTCCATGCTTACACTCTCCCATAGTCGTTGAGGCGTGGGCAAGGGCTCTAGCAAGCTTGCTGGGCTTCTCTGCTCCATCTTGTCTTGATGGCACACAAGACAAGTCTTCACATACATCTCCACGTCGTCTCTCATACGCGGCCAGAAGTATGCTTCTTCGATGAGCGCTTGCGTTCTCTCGATGCCGGGATGGCCCGCCCACTTGGAATCATGGCACTCCTTCATGATCTCCTTTCGTAAGTTGGCCCATCTTGGCACGAACACTCGCTCTCCCTTGGTCATGATGAGCCCATCCTTCATCCAAAACCGTCGAGTCTTGCCTTGCTCGATGTACTCCGCTACGGTTTTGGTGAAGGGGTCATGGCCAAGGCCTTCGACGATCCGCTCCTTCAAAGGAAACGTGGGCTGGATGATGCTTGCGGCGACACTTTTGCGGCTAAGAGCATCTGCAACGGAGTTCGCCTTGCCTGTATTATACTCCATGACGAAATCGAACTCGGCCAAAAAGTCTTGCCACCTCACTTGCTTAGGGGTGAGCTTCTTCTGCGTCAGAAAGTAGCTCGTTGCCACGTTGTCCGTCTTCACTACGAACTTTGATCCCAACAAGTAGTGCCTCCATGTGCGCAAGCAATGCACCACGACCGTCATCTCCTTCTCTTGAACGGTGTATCGCCTCTCTGTCTCGCTGAGCTTCCGACTCTCGAAGGCAATGGGATGCCCATCTTGCATCAACACACCTCCAATCGCGAAGTCGGATGCGTCGGTCTGCACTTCGTAGGCCAACATCGGGTTGGGGAGCACGAGCACGGGCTCCTTCATCACCGCTGCCTTCAAGGCCTCGAATGCTTCTTGGCACCTTTCCGGCCAATCCCACGCCTTGTTATTCTTCAAGAGATCCGTCAAGGGTGCTGCAATGTTGGAGTAGCCCTTGATAAACCTCCGATAGTAGTTGGCAAGGCCGAGGAATGACTGCAACTCTGGCACCTTCGTCGGCGGCTCCCATTCTTGGATTGCCTGCACCTTCGCCCCATCCATCTTCAACTTGCCTCCACCAATGATGTGCCCCAAGAATGGAACCTCCGTGGCGGCAAATGTGCACTTCTCCCTCTTGACGTACAACTCGTTGCCGCGAAGGACTTGGAAGACTTGGCGTAGATTCTTGGCATATGCTCATCGAGTGTTTTACTATACACGACGATGTCATCCAAGTAGACCACGACAAACCGGTCCAAGAATGGCTCGAACACTTGATTCATCAAAGTGCAAAACGTGTCTGGTGCATTGGTGAGACCGAATGGCATCATAAGAAACTCGTAAGAGCCATACCTCGTCACACAAGCCGTCTTTGGCTCGTCGCCCTCTGCTATCCGCACTTGATAGTAGCCCGAGCGAAGATCAAGCTTGATGAACCACATCGCCTCTCCAAGCTGGTCGAACAAGTCGGCAATGTTGGGAATCGACCACTTGTTCTTCACCGTCAACTTGTTGATGGCTCTATAGTCGATGCACATCCACAACGACCCTTCCTTCTTCTTTTGGAACAACACCGGTGCTCCAAAAGGTGACTGCGTCCACCAAGTCCTTGAGCTGCCTCCGCAACTCTTCTAACTCCGGTGGTGACATGCGGTATGGTGCTCGCGAAGGGGGCTTCGCTCCGGGCTCCAACTCGATCTTGTGGTCCACCTCTCTTCTTGGTGGCAGCTTCTTGGGCAACTCCGATGGCATCACGTCGTCGAATTCTTCGAGGACGCCTTCGATGATGGGAGTTGTGATTCCCATTGTGCCTCCTTCTTCCTCCATTTTCAAGGACACAAGAAAGGTTGGTTCATTCTTCTTGAACCCCTTCAATACCTGCATGGCCGATAGAGCACTATGGGGGCCATCTTCTCTCAAGAGATGGACCGCATGGAACTCCCCCTCCTTCTCCAAGCACATCGTGTTGGAGTTGGGCTTCAAGAGCACTCCCTCCTTGTCGAGGAAGTTGATGCCGAGGATGACAGGGTGATCGTCCATGGTGACGACGGAAAAGTCGATGAGGCCTTCCCACTCGCTGAGCTTCACTGGCACGTTGTGAGCAACTCCATGGATTGGAATGGACTCCGAGTTGATCGTCTTGAGCCTCCCTTGCCCCTTCTCGTAGGCAATACCCAGTCGGTTTGCCTCCTCGATGCGAAGGAAGTTGTCCGTGGCACCGGTATCCACCAAGGCTTTTGAATCGCCTTGCATGAATTGCGCCAGAACATAGCACCTCCCACGCTTTCTCTCCTTGACGTCGGTCTTCACCGCGCCAAGCTTGCGGATTGAGACAATCTTGGCCTCCGCCGCCTTGGGCTCCTCATCTTGAGCTTCCATGGCTACCAATCTCGCCTTCCTTGGGCAATCCCGCACTCGATGTGGTCCATCGCAAAGGAAGCAAGACATGGGTTTTGGCTCGTACTTACCCCCTTTGCTCGAACCACCTTGGTGTTGAGTGCGAGAACCTTCCTTGAAAGGCTTCTGCTGTTCTCCACCCTTGTTGGGCTTTGAACTCTTCTCTTTGCCGCTGCTCTCTTGCCTTTTGTACTCAACAAAAGACTCCACCGTGGCCATGGCAGTTGCAAGGTCTTGCACTCCTCGACGTTGCATCTCTATCTTGGCCCATGGTTGCAGCCCATCAAGAAAGCCGTGCATAGCCTCCTTGTCCGTGATGTCCGGGGTCTCTAGAAGCAGCTCCGAGAATTCTTTCACATATTCTCGAACTCCACCCCTCTGGGTGAGTCTTCTCAACTTCGAACGGGCTTCAAACTCCACGTTCTTCGGGTAGAACTGCTTCTTGATTTCTCTCTTGAAATCTTCCCACGTTACCATCACACAAGTACCTCTTTCTACGTTCGCTTCACGTCGCCTCCACCACACCATTACAACATCAACCAAGTATAGTGGAGCGGTACGAAGTTTTACCTCATCCTCTTGGATGCCGGATGCCTTGAAGTATTGCTCAAGACTCCAAAGGAAGTTCTCTAACTCCCTCGCGTTCCTTGAACCTCCGAAGTTCTTCGGTATTGGAACATCAGCACGTGGGACGGATTGCACCGGGGCTGGTCCGCTAGCCATGGCTCTCTTCACGAGAGTGACCTCACTCTTGAGGTCTGCAATCTCCTTCTTCACGCCGACCAGCTCAGCCTGGACATGCTCTTTCACAACTTCAATGGCGTTGTTTATGGAGGCGGTGATGGTGTTGTTGATGAGGGCCACAAGCTCTTCTCGCATCCCATCATGGTTGATCTCCAAGCTTGTCAACCTACCAGCCATTCCTTGAACATCGCTTTGGACTTGGGCAAAGTTACCTCCCAAATCCTCGATGGCAGTTAGGGGTGGGCATTCGGTCGGTTCGGTTCAAACCGAACCGAAATAATGTATACCGGGTTTCCGAGTTTCATCAAACCTCAAACCGAATTCGAACCGAATTATAATTCGGTTCGGTCGGTTCAAACCGAATTATAATTCGGTTCGGTTCGGTTTTGTATGAAAAACCGAACTTGTGAGGTTAGCTTGTATTTTTGCTCTTTTAAATTATTTTCACCCTTAATGTAAACAATAAATATGCAATTAAATGCATCATCAATGATAAAATCAAACATTTCAACATATAAGTCATAAAATACTAACATAATTCAAATATTTAAGACTCATAATAAGTACAAACATAAAAATACACCATTTGAAACTTGCAATTATAGTAATTCGGAAATTCGGTTCGGAATTCGGAAATTCGGTTCGGTCGAAAGGACCTTGGTTTCCGAAATATACCATTTTCTCTTCCGAATTCCGAACCGAATTAATGTTATTCGGTTCGGTTTGAATTCGGTTCGGTTCAGTTAGGTTCGGTTTTACCGAACCGTATGCCCACCCCTAATGGCAGTGATATCTTCCCCCAACTTCACTTCTACTCGAGAGACACGCCTCTCTAGAGCCGCCATAGGATCACGAGTGCTTGACTTGTCACCCTTTGGCTTGGGATTCTTCGTGTGATCCCTTCCACGCTTCTCATGCTCGGTAACGCCGCTATCTGATCCCGACATTTTTGGTGAGGCTCTTCCTTTCCTTCTGGCTATAGCTTCTACTTTGCTAGCACAAAGCCGAACGGGGTTCTGATACCACTTGTCACGACCTTACTCTCAATCGTGCGGCCCTAGCTCTCAAATCCGTTAGAGCGCTAGGCAGTCTTTCTCTCAACTCACTTGCAAGCAAAGAAACAAGAACAAAGACAAAGGATTGTGAGAACTCTCTAGTGTGTATTACTCTAAAAAATAATGAGATGAGTTACAAGTGAGGGAGATGTCTCCTTATATAAGCCTCTCCTCATACAAGGCATCAATACCCCTCATAATGTCCCTCTACATCAATACACCCCATTAAGTCCCCCCATTATGCACTCTATAAATGTCACCCATTATGTGACTCATAAGTGCACCATTAAGCTCTCTATTAAGGTGGATAATCCTAGGAGCATCTCTATGCTACTAGTCTTCCATACATGCCACATGTGCAGCCGCCATGTTGTCACCTTGTTGGCGCCATGTCATCTGCCACACGTGACAGTACCAATTGAGGTGAACAAAACTCTTTAAAGAGAAACTTGTATATTTCTATCTCCTTTGTCTCGTTTATATATATTTAAATGTTGATTTTGTTCATGTATGCTTATTTCACACCGTACATATGACACAATATATACATACTATATTGTTTAAACATTCGATCATCAACATTTGCCACATATGTTATCGGTAACATTATTTATTTATATCAGAAACCAAAACAATTGAGAGATAAAATGCAATACTTAAACCCAAACAAACACCATATTGTACAGAATACAGCTTCTTATTCTCTTATTTGTCTTTGAGTACACAAAGGATTTACCTTTTCAAACTTCTGACAACTCCAAATCCATAATTGACACAGAAAAGTGAGGAATTTGAGAAGACAGTAGTGGATCACCAATTAAAACTAATGGACTCAAAGTGCAGATTTTGGGCCGAGCCAGGCGAACAGATCTGGGCTACTTCATGCCGCAACGATCTCGACCCACAAGCCATCACCCCAACGTCCGACGCTCCGCAATCCAACAGTATCCCTGCATACATGAATGAAACAAATTAATAAATCCTCCCTCCAAGGAAAAAAAAAGGTTCTGATATTTTTTATGGGGTAAAACGGTAACGTTTTAGCGTTTGCTTACTCTTGAGATCAGGCCTCCGCCCAAAATGCACGTTGGTAGCTCCAGCAACGCACTGCACCGGCACACTTTCCACCTCTCCGACAAAACTTCCCGGCGGCGGCGGCGAAACTCCCACTTCCAGGCCTTTCACTCTATTCCCTTCCGCCAAATCCCTCCTTTTCTTGACGAGGAAAACCGCAGAAGACACAGCGAGTACGCCGGCACAGGCGAGGAAGCCGTCCCAGAGGACGAAGTAGGAGTAGTGGTAGCTGCCGTCGTGGGCATTCCGGTCAATCGGGTAGATATAAAACCGAGTCACAACCCCGAGGAGGACGACGAACAGGGCGAAAGATGACAGTATTATTGCACCGAGCCAGAGCCATGCGTTGGGCCCGAGATTCGCCGAGATGGGGCCGTCCGATTGGGCCGGGTTGAACCGTTTGGTTTGGGCCGGTTGTTTCTCAGAATCGGTGGGCTGGTCTTTCTCTCTGGTGATGTAGGCTTCGATCTGAAGGTTCAACAACTCGGGAATCGGATGGGGCGTGCCATCGAAGGGCAGCAGGAGGTCGAGCATGGCGAGATCCGTGGAGTTCTTGAAAGCGCAAATCAGAAGGATTCGTGATGGGATTTGTGGGTTAGGGTTTGAGCTCTGGAAGATGATTTCGCGGATTATGGAAATGAAGGGAGTGATTCCGCTTCCGCCACTGATTAGTACTAGTTCCTCGTGCCTAGGAGAGTTTACAAAAAAAAAAAAAAAAAGAGTACGCTTTAGAGTATGCAATAATATATATACTAGTAAACGTAAAATCAGAAAGAAAGATTGTGTATCGAACCGGAGAAAATGGGATGAAATGGGTCCGTAGGGGCCTTCAACTGAGACTTGGAGACGATCTACGGAGGAGGATATTTGTTGGGAAAGTTTTCGTGACCAACTTCCAAGACTTTTTACGACCAAACTGAGATTATTGGGCTCCAAGTTGCTATTTGAAGTGACAGTGAAAGGATGCCATTGCAGCTTGGAAATGGTGGGGATATTTATGAACAATATGCTTGTTGGATTATATTTCAACCCTGCACAAAAAAAAAAAACAACCCATAATTGTCACGTAGAACTGTCGGTTTGGTTAATCGAATCGTCGAACAAAGAAAAATCAAAACCCAAAATAAATAAGTCTCTGAAACTGATGATAATCATCCTTATCGATTTCATTTCATCGATCTGAACAAACCCAAAAACCGAATCATCCCCCACTTACAATGGTCATAATATGCTTTTCTTCTTCTTTTCGATGTCTTTTTTACCGTTTAAACTAAAATTGAAATTGTTAAACTTCTTATCAATTCGGTTTTAAACATATCAATCAAAATCCAGGCATGGTTGTTAATTATATGATCATATGTCCTTACCAGGGCACTTGGAGAAGTTGAGTTCAACGCTACCACAAGGCAAGAGTCGAGCAGAGATCAATCTGGCATTCCTTTGAGACTGCAAGAACCTCAAGTAACGATCGATCATGAAAAGGAACATCCCAGGAAGGATCATGCACAGGTAATCAGCACCAACGTGGAGCAGGTAGAACAGTATGTACAAAACGTAGAGATGGTGAGTGTAGAAGAAGACTTCGAACATCTTTCTCCTAACACGACCAAAACTGGTCACCCACATTACCACCGCTATCACCATTGCTATTTCTCCAGCCACATTCGATACATATGTCCTGCTCCACTCCAACATCTGTACACACGTATTTGAAAAGGAAAAAAAAAAAAATTATTTAATTAGACATGTCGCGTGACATGTAGTTTCGTTTCTAATTTTTCAAATTTTCCGGAAATTCAATCATATTATTAGTCATGGGCTAGTTCTTCTTCTGACGATCGATCCAACATTGGGGAAAAAAGATATACCTTGTTTATTTCATCTCTTTAACGAGTTTAGTATTGAGTGTAATGACCCTATTGTTTCAATGGAGAGAAGAACTTATGATTAGCTTTTTCATGAAATTTCCAAATGAGCAATAATTTCAACGAAATCTGTCAATTTCTCATTTTACTATATCCAACTCTTTCTATTCCTCCATCCGTAGAGTACATTAAATGGTTTTAACATAGTTTCTCTTATTGAGATCTTTCAATTTCTTATTTTTACTATATCCAACTCCATGTATTCTTCTATCCGTAGAGTGGGTACATTGATTGCACACTAAACGGCTATTCATAGTTTCTTCTTATTCGTATTAATGAAATCCTTCAATTTCTTATTTTTACTATACTCAAGTCTATGCCTTGTCTATCTTGTAGGGTACATTGAATGTGCAAGTAAATGGCTATAACATCCTTTCTCTTATTCGTATCAACAACTACTCTAGAAGGAAATAATGTTTCTATGCGGTGCTAACGATTTAATAACTATTTGTGTAGCTCTAGAATGTTTCAGTTCATACTCCTATCTTATCATTTAAACATACAAAAAAAAAAAAAAGATGAACGATCTGATAAGCCTACAACGAAATATTTACTTATGGGTGGAGAGCAAGCTCTTCTATTTTGGTTCATGACTTCTTTAACTATATTATCGAACACAGAAAGATGTACGGTGTAAGGAGTCTCCTATATATGAAATATTTTACCTCGGACATCTGGTTAGTCATCCCCCAATACACGACGAACCCAATTGTGTGGAGAGCAAAGAGGACATTAGAAACGTGGCCTAGCCAAATATGGTACTTGATGGTGGACTCCGAAGTGAGCCCTAGAAGAGGCAGCAACGACGACCCTCTAGTTACAGGGAAGAAGAGAAACGCCCAGCATATGTTCCCAACGTAGCCTAGCCTCAGTGATACGCTGCGAAACTTGGCCTGCCAACTGCATGCATGCATTCAGAAAATGAAACGACCAGCTAATTAATGCTGTTTTATCAGGAAAAAAATTTAAAAGAGTACACAGATATGTATGCAGCTTTAATTTAGGGCTGCTTACATCTTTTCTCCTTGTTTGTGCATGTGGAGGTGGCCAAAACTAACGTATACGTAATTGGCCAGGGACCAGATGAGGAGTGCTATGAACATCGCCATGAAAGCCAGCTCCACTCCTGTGACTATGCCCAGCGGGGAGATCACATATGGCCTCCACAAGGGAGAAATTAGTTTGGGTTTGACTTCTCTGCAGCCAACAAATTTTATTAGAGTGTCTGAGTTAACTACCCCATCAATTTGGGAGAGTAAAGGATTATGAGTAATGCAAGTAGTATTACGAGTATTGATATGTAATCGGATGCGGAGTTATGTTCCTTATTATATTCCTATAAGTTAGGTATTTTCCATAGTATTAATGTTATATATGGTGGTTACAGAAGTCGGTCGTCATTGTTGTAATCTATATAAACTCATCGTTGTTTCAGACTTTCAGTACAATAAGACACAACAATTTCGACCGAATTATGATTTATCAACGAAACCTTTTGGAGGATGAGAAGGGTTCCTGGAGTCTGGTGTGGAAATGAAGATAAACACATCCCAAAGCAGCTATGAACATGACAGGAAAGGAGAAGAGCAGAAGGTTCGTCCCTGCAGATTAACAGAGGAGCAGAATGGTAATTACACAATTTTTATCACCCCCTAATGGTACAATAAACAAGATTAATGCTAATACTACTAAAACACCAATTACCTTGTCCCTGGAAATAAACCGAGTTGAAGTGGGTGGATGAAAGGTTTGGATCCCATGAATTCTTGTAAGCCTTTGTGGGCAGCATTACCCATATCATCAGCCATCCCACTAAGGCAACCAGCAAGACTGCCCCAACGACGGCGTTTAGGTTCCTCATTTGTTTGTTCTCTTCTAAAAGAGGGATGGGTGATCCTCTGCACTTCATTCTGTACCACGTTTTTATAATACATCCCCAAGTCCACGTCATCCGTGAAATCGTACAGGGAAAAAAAAGTCTTCGATGAAGCATACTGTACTGGTTTTTGTATTCAGGTAGCATACTGTACTTCATTCGATGATCTATTAAGTTCGTAACATTACCACTACGACATAAACCCTCGTCGGAATTATCAAACAGTATTCACTATTCAGTCTCCTCCTAACATTGTATGTTACTGCCAGTACAGTAATCACTGACTGCTAAGAAAAGCAGTACAGTTGGGCAAATAATGAAAGTACAGTTGACCTGATAAAAACAAAGTACAAGCAGTTGACTTTGCCAGAAGAGGACTTTCCAGCAAGCAACCATATTCTATTCAGGAGCATCCAATGAGCAACAGAATATGCTTTGCTCTAAGGAAATGCAGGAAACCAAGAAAAAGATTTAGGTTTCCTCTATACTGCTGAAATCTGATGATCACAAGTGTCTGAGGACCATCATGCCGAACCCAATGCCAAGAAACGTTGCGATAGAGACACCAAAGATGCCTGCGAGGATCGCAGGGACGACCAGGGAACTCCATCCTTTAGCTGTTGCCATCCCACAAGCCGTCGTAGGGCCTCCAACGTTGGCATTGGACGCTAGAAGTAATAGCTTCAGGTCAAACCGGAACAGCTTTCCCAAACCCAGAACCACAGCAAGATGGACCGTTACTTGAATGAGAGCAAAAAGGAATATGCTAGGTGCTGTGTTGATGACATTCATTATGCTCCCACCAGCTCCCACCACGGCGAAGAACACCTGGTGTTGTATAAGCAAGCCATTTTAGTAATGAGGTCGTCTTGATTGGTGGATCAGTTACATAAATGGGTTGATTTTGCTCTTGTTTTTTTACCTGCATCAGAATTACAGCAAGGGTGTCGCCAGCAGGGGCTAGAAAACTGAATTGAGCAGGAAAAGCTGTTGCTAGGATGACAACAAGAGCTGTCACAGCTGGGAGAGTGCCTCCTTGGATCTTGAATGACTGGGTGAGAAATGTTGCAGCCTTGCATATGGAGATAGAGATGGCAATAGCTGTAGCCATCTGTAGCACAGTCGTCTTTGCTTCAGAATCCGATTTGGCAGTCCCTTCAACCTCTGCCAAGAGATTCACAGGTTGATGAAGCGGTTACAGCTGATTGTCACGAGGAATGAACCAACTAACCCATTTGATGGCATAGCCTGGATATAGTTACCATTAGTTGACATTGATGGCTCACGCGGTATTTTAGCAGCCATTGCAAATAGAACCATGAAGTATATAGCAGTAAGCACATTGTCCGCAGCTATTCCTGCTGCCACAACAGACGGGGAAGTCCCCAGAGCTTCTGAAACTGCGACATAATTAACAGCTGCGCCAGATAGGGGAAAAAAGCTGAAAGAGTTAGCTTCCTAGACTGATTGTTACAGCAAATTGAAATTATTTTAATCATGAACAACATAGCTGAAATGACAAAATTCAGCAACTGACCTCCACCAATGTAACTCCCCATCAAAGCAGAAGCTATCTTCCAGTTGTCCTGGCCAAGTGATCTCATAGGCACCAGCAGAAAAGCCACTAAAGTTCCAATAACAGTGGCCGCTGTCCAGCACAAGACATTGCAGTGAAGAATCAGAGGGGATGGAAGATTAATGGTTGTGAACCATTTTTTAAGGAAGACCCATCAGACATTTCATTCACTATTACATGACAACAATGTGGGAAGACTAATTTCCTAGTACTCGGCAGCATATGGATAACAATAACAGAATGTTCAACCAACCCATCAAACTCAGCACAACCAGAAGCTCAAAGGCACTTACTATATAAAAACAGAGCCTTGGCATCTGCTCCACCATTAAGATCCTATTGCTTCCATCAACTACCCTATACAACAACATTGAGAGAGACTCTCATCAAATCGACCAGAACTTTCTTTCAGTTTACCATACTTTTCTCTATTGGCAATTCAAACAGAAAGAGTGGGGAAAGGGAGCCAAACCTGAACCAAGAAGGAAAGCCAATAGCAGTTTCCCAGTAGATTGAATCACACTCCGCAAGTCTGCTCTGAACAGCAACAGGGGAATCGTAATTGGAAGCAGAAACTCCAGCACGATTGAATACGTTTTCGCTTCATGAGGGATTATCCCCAAATTGCTCCCCGCAAGCCCTACCAACGTGCTCACTAACGCCGCGCTCACCATGCTCCCCAGCTTCGTCTTCTCGGACCTTTCCCCAAAACATTCACAGAATCAAAAATCAGTTTTCCCTTCCGATTAAAAACCAAAGGAATTTCCTCCCACCAATTCCTTACCAGACACCGAAAGCTCCGGCCCCGAAGAGCGCCGTCCACGTTCCCCAGTGGTCGTCGGGGGAAATAATCGGATACCCCAGCTGCGAAAACACTTTCGCAGGTACACGTGGCCTCCTCTCCCGCCGTGCCGGATGAGAGAAGAATGCCGCCGTCCTGCTGGCGCTTGGAGATTCGTCGATTAGTGCTGAAATGGTGAAGAAGATGCGGCCGGAAGGTGGGATTGGGAATAGGAGCAGGCGGCGGCATGGAGAGGTTGACGTCGGTGGGAAGAAGAAAGGGCAACGACGCAACGGCGGCGTAGCGCAGGTGGAGGCGGAAGCCATGGATGATGAATTGGCCAAGGAATCCGCCGGCCAGGAGGGTTGTTTAGTGACTGAACTATTCGGCCAGTAGCGATTTTGAACGGAGAAATTGGTATCATTATTCCGGGCCTTTCCGTCGTTTGTTTGCGATTGGAATTTGGCTCCTTTGCCTGCTGACGAGGGAATCTTCCACGTGGCGACGCTACGATGCAGTTTCCATCGCCGGAGTCCACATCGGATCGATTCACTTATCACTACTAGGGCTGCAAATGAGCCGAGCTGAGCCGAGTTTTACCCCAGCTTGAGCTTGACTCGTTAACAAATGAGCTGAGCTCGAGCCCGAGCCATTTATTAGCGAGCCGAGTCGAGTCGAGTTCGAGCTAGGCTTGTTTACTAAATTCTTAGATCGTATTTAATACATTCATTTTGTATGTCGTGTATGGTACATGTGATTGATGTAGTGATAAAAAAATAATCAAATGTTCAACATTAATCAATCTTATATTATAACTTTTAGGTGTCATATTGTTTAGTTAATAAATTTTAACTAGTTCAAATCATGTTATTTCATAGTATCGAAACAATTTTGTACATAAATTCTTTATAGAATTAAAAATAAGGCATATTTTCTTACTTGTTCAACATGTTAAACTTCACATGATGTGAGATATATAATTTAACAATCTTATGAATTATGAAAGTCCAAATTAGATCGATTAGTCCACAGGGTTCAAGAAGGCGCGCCTAGGCGCACGCCTAGGCTCAATTAGACGCTAGGCGGTGGAGGATCGCCTTGACTTGGCCATAGGCATTGTAAAAGGCGCTGGTAGCGCTTAGTAGGTAGGAATAGCGCCTTAATAACTAGTTTAGTGTCAACCCGGTTTGGCACTTTGGCACAGTTGAAAAAAGTACGTTAAAGGTTAATGGTCCAATCTTTTTAGTCCACTTTAGCTTGAATATATGGAAAAAAATCATTATAATGTTCATCCATTTATAAATTATATCAAATCTCATCTAACATATCACTAATAGCAGATAATATTACACCAAAATAATACGTCGTACTTGAATCAAACATATGATGAGAATTCGCACACTTATTAAACATCAACATTCAAAAGTTCGATTTAGAATTCCAAAGATAGGGTTAAGACGAAGAGGAAAATTCGAAGAAAGACTCATTTCACAAACCGAAGGAGAAAACAATGTCGTGTGACTTCCAATTTGATAACCTTACAACGGGTCAACTCGCAGGTATGTGTAGCCCGTTTTTCTCACTGGGTCAAGGTCAACTGGTGGGTCACCTGCGGGTTAAAAATATTGCTCTTTGGTCTTTTACTTTTTTTCCAAAATTTCTTGCTAGGTTATCCATATGGAACTCAGAAGTTATTTAGTCTTTTAAACCCATCATATTTTCAATTTGATTTGTTTTATCAGTTTTAATCGAAACCAAATCATTAAGAAGTTTAATGGTTTTTGTTTTCGATTTTACACCGTCTAGCATCTTAATGATTTTGGTTTCGGTTAAAATCAACAAAAAATATATAAAACCCTAATTAAGTAAATACCCATCAACAACACACGTTGTCACCAACTTATGTGTAATACTCTTCTTTCCTATCTTCATACTTCTTGTTGTCTATTCAAACTTCACAAACTATGAGTTTGGTTTTAGATTTTTTGGTTTATCCAAACCAAATTAAAACTATTAAGTCGATTTTCGATTAACCAATAACGATTTTGGTTTATGAGAATTTATATGATTTTATTTTTAATTTTTCATACTAAATGGTACCGTTAACCAAACCAAATTGATTAGTCATATATAACCTATGCCCCCGACTTAAGATGCCAATGGGTAAATAATCGGTTTGAGACACCAACTATAAACAAAAGCTGAATTTAAGGCACGAACTAAAATATATTCCTAGACACTTCTCTTAAGTTTAGCTTCTATCTCATTTTCAAGTCCTAAAACATGATTATTCTCATTCACAATTGAGATCAATCACTAATTAGAAGAAAATAAGAGTCCTAAACGTTCAAGGACTAATTAGTTATTATATGATAAGACGAAATTCCAATCCTTATTAAGAAAACCCCCTTCTATTAAGACAGAAAATTCGAGGTAATGGATTCACCAATCACCTCATACTACCAGAGTCAGAATTCAGGTAGAGTTCGAAATCAACCGGACGAGGTAAGGAAGAGAGTGGAAAAAATCGACCGGCGGTGATGATTTCATGCTGGGCACCAGTTTGTTCCACCAAACGACAAGCGACCCTCGCCGGAGAAGTAGTAACGCCAGGGGTGCCTCGTCATCGATGGGATGAGCTTTGCCCGGATCTCTTGAATTCGATCTACGGCAAGCTCCCTCCCGGCCACTACGGCCGGACTGATTTCGGATCGGTATGCAGGAACTGGCATCGGATCCACGCAGCCGCCGGGACCCCGCCGCTGACGGCTCCTCTCGCCGGCGGACGAAATCACCCGATCCACGTCCGATCTCACATCGGCGACGACATTCCCGGCGGAAGGGTCCGCTGGTTATTTTGTCATGCCCGCCGGTTATTGAGTCTGCCGCAACTGCACGTGGTGTACACGTGGTCCAGCGGGTGGTGGCTTCTGGAATCGAATCGGGTAATCTGCGCCTGCTTCAATCCCCTGCTTCCATGGCCGTCCTGCTACCATAAGCTTCCCAATTTGGGGCTCCGCCCTTTCGACGAGATCCCCGAAATTCCCATAAAAGCGGCGTTCTCGGCCCCGCCGTCGAGGAACCGGAGCTGGACGATCTTGGTCGTACACAGCCGCCGGAGTTTCAGCACGTTCCGCCGCGGCCGCGGTGGCGGGGGATGGTGGTGGAACAGCTACACTTACTGCCGGAAGGGGGAATTAGAGGCAGGGGCGAGAATTTGCGAGGGAATCGGGTACAGGGAGGGGAGATTCTTTCTCCTTTTCAACACGGGAGACGTTTTGGTCTTCGGAATTGATGGCGGGGAGCGGAGGATGCTGGTGGTGGGAGTTCCTCCGCTGCTGGCAGGGGAGCTGTCCCGGCGGGAAAATTTGCGGGTCGTGGCGGCCGTGGAGGAGGAGGAGTCTTCTTTGGTGGTAAGTTGGGGGCGAGGAAGCGGCGGCGGAGATGGGAGGTTACGGCTGATGACGGTGGAGAGGTGGAAAACGGCGGCGGGGGAGGTAGAAGAATTGGAGTTGGAGGAAGGAAGCAGGGGAGGGGTTTTAATGGCGAGGGAGCAACCGGGAGTGGTCAAGTGGATAGCCATTCGTCATGTTTGCTGGACTCTTTACTTTTTTTTTTGGGTAGGGGTTTATTCCTTCACTGTGTTTTATTTGGTTAGGATTGGAAATAAGGGTCAGTAATGAGAGTACATTTATTATTTATAAAAAACAAAAATCTAATTTTTATCGGAATAATTTTGATGGGTTATTCTTTCGATTTATATCGTAATTTAATTTTTTGTACAGAAAATTAGATTATTAACTGTGTTCTTCAAAATCACACCCACTTTGATATATTTTGTAAACTAGCTTGAACCCGTTCTTTGGCCGGAATATTTCAACCAATTTTTTCATAACTTATCTCCAATTAGTTTTTTGTGATTTTTAATTCAATATGAAAATTAATTAGATGGTATAATTTGTGTTTAACGGGTATTTCACCAAAATAATATCCCAACAAATATTCCAAATCTATTTTCTTAACGTGTAAATTGGGTTGCGCATAGCTTAATTTGGTTTGCTGAAAAGTTGAAAAGAAGTTTTCGGAGGGAATTTTTGGGCGATACGGGTTTGCACGCTGCGTCCGTCTCTCCGTTGCATGGCAGCCATGGGCCCGCCTGCTGCCCCATCGCCAGTGGGGGAGGATAAACCTCCAGACCCGATTACGGGGAGTAGACGTCCACCGGAAGTCTCCTCATCGCCGGATGGAAAGAAAGAGAAAGAATCACAGCATCCGAGAAAGAGAGTACGACCTATGGGTCCGGTGGTCGACTCAACAACTATGGAAGAGGTCTTGATAGAAGATATCATAGAGGAAGAGATGCAAGAAGGGGGGAGAGGATAGCCAACATGATCATGCTGAGACCAAGACCCGAAGTACACCACAGGGCCCGACTTGGGGGTCCGGACGAAGGAAGCTGTTCAGTGAGGCACTGAAAGAGACCAAGTGGTATATTGAGGAATCTGACTCGGAGGACGTGGCAGAAGCTATGCGTGAGGATAACAAGGATGAAGAGATCTCGGAAGAAGAAGATCCTCGTTCCCCGACAATACTGTTTACATCGGCGGAACTGAGAAACTATCGTCGGGAATGGCGATCTGCTTTGATAGTTAAAGTTCTTGGACGGACGTTCTCCTATCCTGTGCTAGCAAAACGGCTGAACATGTTGTGGGCCAAATCAGGAACCATACAGATTGCGAACAAATCCCACGTCTACTACTTTGTCCGTTTTACTAGTAAAGCGGATTACGAACTAGCGTTAACTGGAGGCCCGTGGATGATAGGGGAGCATTATTTAACTACACAAAGTTGGCAGAAGAGCTTTAATCCAAGGAACCATGAAGTTAAGTCAACGTGTGTGTGGGTACAGTTCCCTGACCTGCCCATTGAATTCTCTCACCCGGAAGCTGTGTTACGCATTGCTAAACGAGTAGGAACACCTATTCACCTCGATCGAGCTACGGAGTTGGGTGCTAGAGGGGGCTTTACTCGAGTCTGTGTTGAAGTTGACCTTACCAAACCTCTACTATCCCACTTCAAGATAGAGGGCATTGAGTATGATATCCGTTACGAGGGATTGGACAATATATGCTTTGAGTGTGGTACATATGGTCATCAGACATTACGCTGTCCTACTCTCCATCAGGAAGAGGATCCACTACCAAGCCAAGAGACCCCCCTCTCATCGCAGGCAGGTCACGCTGAGCCTTATGGGGAATGGATGGTAGCCCGCCGACGTGATAAGAGACAAGGAGTGCTGTACAGAGCAAGGAAAACGACAAATCCAATGGCAAACAAACCCAAAGTCGCACTGAAATCTCAGGCTCTCGTTTTGGTGTGTTGGTAAAGGACGAAACAGAGGGTGACCAGGACCTTGCAGGCGATCAACGAAACCACAAGCCCAAAGAGAACATGCAGAGGAACCCCGAGCTGAGACAGGAAGGGAAGAGACAAGCTGCTATGCAGGGTACCCAGAAATGGGTCCTAAGAACGCACACCCAGACTAGCGGAAGCCAAGAGGGAACCAGAAACCCCGAGAAATCGGTGGAGGCGCAACCGCGAAGTGGAGGAAATACTGATACAAACAAGTTGCATACAGGGGAGAATCGAAATGAGCTGGCTGACCAGGGAAGAGCTAGTTTGATACCAACCAGAACCCAAGAACAAAGTAAGATGGTGGAAAAGGAATGCATTGACAATCCAGGAGGAGGAGCAGCCAAACCCGATGGCTTACCCCCAGATAAAGATACTATGGTAGACGAGAATCAACCAGGAGCATTGGAAGGGGATGCTTTCGCGAAATGTAAGAATATTGCAGGAGAGGAGCCATGCTTGGCTCCTTCTCTAGCCTCCAACTAGTTTGGAAGGAAGGGGCACCCTGGTTATCTCCATTGTGTGTTTAATGGACCAGAAGATATTTGTATGGAATAGCAGGGGAGCAGGAAGCAAACGCTTCTTGCGTGTTTTTAGAGAATACAAGAGACGGTACCAACCGGGTATTGTGGTGATTGTAGAGTCGCGAATCAGTGGAGTCAAAGCAGAGGAGGTTATTAGCAAAATGGGTTTTGAGAAGAAATTAGTAGTTGAGGCAGTGGGGTTTTCTGGTGGGATTTGGTTATTATGGGACTCGGCAACAACAACCATTACGGAAGTGTCTCGTTCTTCTCAACTTCTCCATGTGGATGTGACTTGTGGGATGAGCTGCTGGCTTTTTACAGCAATTTATGGCAATCCAGCTTTAGGTTAGCGACAGGAACTCTGGGCATCAATCCGGGCGCTCGTTGAAGATGTAGATAAACCGTGGCTTCTAGCGGGTGATTATAATACGATCCTACATGCATCGGAAAAGTCCGGGGGAGCAGCCTTCAACAGTCATAGAGCGAGGGATTTACAGGCGTGTGTGTTGGATACGGGTCTGATCGATCTAAGGTTTGTGGGTCCCCCATTCACCTGGTTCAAGACAGGGGTGCGGGAACGATTAGATAGGGGTTTGGGGAATCTCCTGTGGTCTACCGAGTACCCTGAAACCACGGTGCGCCATCTACCTAGAATCAAATATGATCACCGACCGTTACTTATAAGTACTGCCCCTCAATTTGGTCCAGGAGGGCCTAAACCCTTCAAGTTCCTGGCAGCATGGCTGACTCACGAACCCTTTCGAGATATGGCGTGCTTAGCTTGGAACAAAGGAAGTGACCTTACTAGTTCGATTAACTCCTTTGTGGACGAGGCGAGACGGTGGAATGTGGAGGTATTCGGACACATAATAAGGAAGAAGAATAGACTGCTCCTACAGATCGAGCGAGTAGAAAATTCGGGGAGAGGGGATATGGACGTAGAACAGCTAAATACCTTACGGAATGAGCTCGAAGAAATTCTTCTACAAGAAGAACTCCTTTGGTGCCAGAACGCTCGAGCAGAAGGGATAGTGTCGGGGGATAGAAACACAAATTTTTTTCATAACCGAGTGATGCAAAGGAGGCAGCGAAACCGCATTGTGGCTTTAAAGGACGAATTGGGTAACTGGGAAGAAGATCAGGCTAAACTGCAGGACTTGGCACGCAACTATTATGCCCAGCTATACCTGGATAATGGCGAACCTGCCGCAAGCTTACCATCCGGATTCAGCAACCTGCCGCAGGATGCGTGGGGTACTCTTACAATGAACTTAACGGATGATGAGGTCTATAAAGCAGTTGCTGCAATGGGCTCCTTGAAGGCACCGGGGAAGGATGGTCTTAATCCACTCTTCTACAAGAAGTGTTGGGAGTTCGTGGGCAAGGATGTGATCCAGTTTGCACGGATCTGCTGGGAGGATCCGCGGGAAGTGAAGAGGATGAATGCTATCATTTTAGTTCTCATCCCCAAGGCTGCTAAACTGACCCTCATCGAGCAGTTTTGTCCGATCAGCTTGTGCAACGTGGTGTATAAAATTATTACGAAAGGCCTGGAAGAGAAGTTGAAGCCCCTCATGCCACGTCTGGTGGCCGAAACCCAGACCAGCTTTGTCCCGGGTCGTCACATTACTGACAATATCTGTATTTTGCAGGAGGTAGTTCACTCTATGCGTGCTAAGAAGGGGAGAACAAGTTGGATGGTACTAAAGATCGATCTCGCCAAGGCCTACGACCGAATCCGGTGGTGCTTTGTTCGAGACACTCTTCAAGCCGCAGGAGTACCGGATGAGTTCAGTAAGCTGACCATGCAGTGTATAACCTCATCGACGATGCAGGTGTAGTGGAATGGAGGGTTTACCGAGGAGTACTTACCATCACAAGGGCTACGCCAAGGATGCCCACTCTCGCCGTACATTTTTACTCTGTGCATGGAAAGGCTGGGTCATCTGATCAGAGACTCGGTGGAGAATAAATCATGGAAACCCATCCGGATTTCGAGTAAAGGGGCGGATTTGTCTCACTTGTTTTTTGCAGATGATCTAATTTTGATGGGGGAGGCGACAATCGAGCAAGAGGAGATCATTAACAGTTGCCTTGAGTGTTTTGGTTCAGCGTCGGGCCAGCAGGTCAGCCGCCCGAAGTCGAGGGTGTTTTTCTCGGGCAATGTCACGGAAGTGGTGGGCGCTTCCATTAGTGCAGAACTGGGAATACAGGAGACGAAGAACTTGGGAAGATATTTGGGGGTGCCTGTAATACACGATCGAGTCTCGAAAGCTACTTATAATGCGCTCATTGACCGAATTGACTCTCGTCTTGCAGGATGGAAAGTTAAATCCCTCAGTCTAGCCGCCAGGATTACACTTGCTCAATCAGTGCTACCTCTTTGCCTGCTTACACGATGCAGACCTCGTTTCTCCCCGCGAGTGTTAGAGACTATGTTGACAAGAAGATCAGAGCTTTCGTTTGGGGAAGTTCGGAGATGGGGAAAAAGATCCACCTTGTTGACTGGAGTACGGTTTGCAGACATAAAGAGGAAGGTGGGCTTGGTTTGCGAACGGCTACGAGGATGAACGAAGCTTTTATGCTAAAGATCGCTTGGCGCCTCCTCTCAGAACCAGAAGCTTTATGGGCACGAGTTGTTAGGGCCAAATACTTACGGGAGAGAGGCGGAGGATGGCAGCCGCGTACATCAGGGAGAATCTCGAACTTGTGGCGAGGGGTATTACGAGTTATCCACCTAATTCCGGAGGCCCTCATGTGGAACGTCAAAAATGGGAAAAGTGTACGCTTCTGGGAAGATAAATGGTTATATGATGGTCCCCCCCATTAGGCGATATGGCGGGGGAATTACCAGAGGTAGCGAGGTCCTTGTCGGTGGCGGACCTGGTGCTGAACGGTGAATGGAATGTGCAGTATATTCAGGCCTTTCTCCCACAGCAGGTGGTGCAACAGGTCCTACTATACCCGCCACCCAATGAAACAGAAGAAGATGTGCCACTGTGGAGGCTTACCGACTCGGGAAAATTCTCAGTCAAAACAGCTTATGAACTCACAGATGAAGAATATATGCCATCCAGGAGTCGCGCGTTGTGGAAGTCAATATGGCGAGCTCCGACTACATAGCGTATACGGTCTTTTCTTTGGCTGGCAGCCCACCGCAGGCTGCTCACTAATGAAAAAAGGAAGAGACGCCATTTAACTAATGACGACAGCTGCTCCATTTGCGGAAAGGGTCCGGAATCCACTTTCCACGTGCTTCGGGATTGCCCCTACGCAAGGGCGGTGGGGACGGGCTTCTTGGAAGGGGAGGATGATGAAGCATTCTTCCAGGAGAACATGGATAGGTGGTTGTTACACTACTTGACAGGGAGAGGCTGGAAGGTGGATGCCACGCTCTTCGCAATAGTTTGCTGGTCACTTTGGAAAAACAAAAATACATGGGTCTTTGAAAAAGCTCTTGGGTCAGAGGTGGAAGTTCAAAAACGTGCGGATTGGTGGTATCATCAAATTCAGCTAGCATGGGCGAAAGAAAAGGACATAGAACCATATGGAAGGACGAGAAGAAGGGAGCTCATAGCCTGGACGCCACCACCGAGAGACTGGCTCTGCCTAAATTGTGATGGGTCGGTGGTGTATGCCCAGGGAAGCGCTGCAGCAGGAGGGGTGCTACGTAGAGATGATGGGCGGTTTGTCCGAGTTTTCACATCCAACTTGGGGGGAAGTTCTATCACGGGAGCGAAACTAATGGGGATCACAATTGGATTGAGGATGGCTTGGGAAGAGGGCGCAAGGCAAGTTGAAGTGCAGACTGACTCGAGAACTGCTTTGGAGCTGATTCGGGAGTCCGTTGGGACGCATCCGCACCACATCTTGATCTCCCAGATTCGGCAGCTTTTGAGTAGAGATTGGCAGGTGGAGCTCAAGCATGTTTACAGGGAGGGGAACGTGGCAGCAGACTTTCTAGCCTCGCTGGGCCATTCTCTTAGCGTGGGCGAGCATACGATCACGGCACCATCCCCGACGTTGAATCACCTACTGCTCTATGATGTAATGGGTATCCAGACCCCTCGCTTTGTGTTAAGCTAATCGGTTGGAGCGCCGTCTCGCTCCGCCCTACTACAAAAAAAAATATTGGTTTGCTGAAAAATAAACGCTAATGAGGAGACAAATGCCAAATTGAAGCGTGGGCACCCAATCAGACCTCCTGTCGCCCCATTGGTTTGTACGACCCTAAAATTTCTTTGCTTTGTTTTCATTGCGATGAACTTTGCATTGAAGATTTTCCATTGGACTCGCATAACCCTCCAATCCTCCTGGTTCTCTCCCACCCACTCGATCTTTACCTCGATTTTCTCCACAGCTCATCAACTTCTCTCCACCTCGCTGAAACTCCAACTATAGTGGCCTCTACAATCTCATTCTCATTTATCCCACGACGAAGTTGTAGTTGATTTTGTGCATCTATGACCACTCCTCCCAACTCATCAACTTGTTCCCTGAATCCAACATTTGTAAATCAAGTAACTTAACAAATTAAATGAATTACTACATCCACGTCAATCTATTTCCCCATCATAAGCACTCAACCCAGATTCCACCAAATGAACACACAAAGCTCTAGCAGCCCACAAAGAGAAATAAAAGGTGCATGCCTCTGCATAGTTGTATGCTGTAATATAATTAAGCGAAGATGTTGGGTATTATATATAGTTACTGCCAGAAGACTAACTTAAGCCAAAATCAAAATGGAATTTACTCAAGAGTGGTCGCTCATAAGCTAAGCTTCCATACATGTGTTGCTGCTTCTTTTATCTAGAAGAGAGTATATCATTATTCATTACACATTTTCTCGTTGCCCTTGCAATCACACCTTGGGATTCCAATACATGGATAGAGAGCTGTGAAAATACAAAAAGATCAATCATAACGTAAGATAACCATTCAGCAGAAACCATTCTCAAACTCAAAGTTAAGCATTCCGAAATAGCATAATTACATACATGTAAAAAACCACATACCTTAACAACTACATACATCAGAACTATGATTCCCCTCATTCACAACCACTCATGATCAGTTCCAATCAAGGAAAAAAATTTAAGAAATTCTACAAACCAACTAAAACCAAGCTGTTAAGGGGCAGCAAGCTAAAGAAGACAGGAGACTAGCAACTATAACACTCATTCTATCACATTACTCCCATCTTCCCACAAATGCAAACCCACTCAAAAGGCCTCCTAAGGATGCAAATACCTGTAATCGCCAAGAACTGCAAACTAGTACCACCAGTTCCCTAATAGAGGATCTTCGTTGACCTCTCTCTGCCCTTGATAATGACACACTTCATTTCTTGTGTCGGTCATGGTATGTCATCTTGTTGTAATTAACCCAATTTCTACTAATAATAATCCTCCGTAATTGATTTTTTGATAGGGGCATATCCACATTGACTTGCAATGAACTCAACCTAACAAACCTTCAACCATCCACCCAAATATGCATATAAGAGTGTGCAAAATCAACGGGAGCCTAGATGTGGAAAATACCTTTTACTATGCTTGTTTCAGAAGGCTTGTATAACTAATGTCTTTGAACTTATAGATCATTGACAAACCCATATTGGGGGCACAAACAAACACCGAGCATAAGATAAGACGGTTGAAAGTATAAGGAAAGGAGTCACAGTAGAAAGATTCCTTCTCAAACTGTGGGTCAAAGTAAATCGAGGACATAACATTCAAAACTTGATCTCAACTAAAGAATGTAGGATACATGGTGGAATTGCAGAACAAAGAATGTAGCTCGTTGTTCTCCTTGAAAATCTCAGGAGCAATTTTTTTTTCTTTTATATAACTCAAGACACCAACTTCAACTCTGGAAGATTACACCCATCTTAAACCAAGGAACTTCACAACCAATCCAACCCATCACACTAGAAAGTCATGGCAAACGAAGTAAAACCCCTTTGTGAGAAAGGTCATATGCATTCAGTAAGAAGTACGATGTGTGAAAGGTCCTGCTGTCTAGGGCCAACAGTATTGGTAGTACCCCATTACCAAGTCAATTGTAGTCCACATTTTCAATAAGTGAGTACAACCCCAGGTTTGACAAACCTTATGCGAACAATGAAGGAAGGTGAAAGAACCAAAATAAACATTGGTGCAGGGAGGAGCACATACCCGGGAATTAGTACATATTATTCGAGAAAGCCATAGCCATATCTCTGCTTCTTCTTCTCGTTAGGTTCCCCTTTCAGACTTTTCTCACAACAATTCGATTCCCTCGTTTACTTCTCGATTGGTGGAGGTAGGGGTCTGCGCTGCGACTGCTTTAATTGGTTGAGATTGTTTTGGTTCTATCCACTTGTCTTTTAGTACTGTGGGGGGAAGCAAGTCTGATCCACACCATCGCTACGCACTGCTTTATCAACGTCGTTGTGGTTCATCAATCGGAGATGAGGATTATGGCTCTCCAGTTTTTTGTGGTTCATCGATAGGAGGGAAGGAGTAAGTTTGCATTTTCTAAAGGAGGCGCCGATAAAATGGAGATTCATAGATATCTGAAATTGAGATACTGACCTCAAATATAAGGCGCCGATCGTTCTGAAGAAGTCATCCCACGAAACCAATATTAGCTGCCAATCAAAAGCTGTGCGGCCAGTGGCGACGATCTGCATGAAAGCTAAACTCACGAAACAAAGGGCTGAAAATGGTCGTCTGACGGTCTGGGGTGCCGTCCTTGACTGGCGAAGGCGCTCTCCCTCTGCCTACAAATGCAACCGGATCGGAAACTTGGTTACTGGTTGGGTGATGGGAAGGAAAGAGTTTGGTCGCCGACAGATCATGGTTGAGTTTGTCGTTGTTGCGGGAAGGGGAATAGGTTTCAGGGGAGATAGGGAACCGACGTGCCCTTTACTGCAAGAAGAATAGAGAAATACGGGGGAGGATGGTTACGGGAATAGTTGAGGGAAGAGAAACCCAATTGACGGAAGATGAAAGAGGAAAGAAAGCCCGCCTAAATGGGCTGCCATATCAGCCTCCGAAAATCACTCTAAGAGTAGGGAATTTTGAATGGTGGTAGCAGTTTTACTTTTCAGCTATAAATGATACTGTTGAAACAAATTGAGTCATTTATTATCGGTCCATCCCATGTGGTAATGATTGACAGTTCATAAATTATACCACTTTAATATGAAAGTGTGTCATGGTGATATGAATGTATATGAGTGTAGTAAACAATGCAGTTAAAATCAAGATTTTACGTAAAATCGAATAATGAGGTAAAATCGAAATCGTTGATTAAAATCGTATAATCATAAATTTTAAGATTCATATTAAAATGAACACTAAGACTCCATATAGTAATATTAACTCACATCCTGTATAACAATCAACCACATATAACTTAATTATTTCCCAACAGAAGTTTGTTTATTACATAAACACAAATAAGTTCATAGATTTATTCTTGTACACAACATAAACTCGCAAATAAGCAAACCCGAAACCACATAGGAATTACTTAATCTCTTTTTTTTGTTGTTGAAAGAATACTTAATTGGATTAATAGTTAAGAGTAGAAAATCACATAACATCGTTACAATCAACATTGACATCCCTCACACATCATCAACCTCACACTCACCCTCACTCACATCCTCATAGAATCCTTGTCTATTTGCGGATAAAATATCTCGGGTACCACTAAATTAAGTATGAGAATTGGGGGAGATGTACCACTTAAGTAAGAATAGCGCGTCGGGTACCACTAATGTCACTGAATTGTGCATCCGTCTAAAATTCCGTCCATCTACCGTTAAAAAGAAATAGCGATTATTTTTTGTCAAAATATTTAAAATCAATATAAAATAAAATTATTAAAAACAAAACAAAAAATTCTAAATTCCGATCACCTCCCTCTCAAATATACATAACCTAGCGCCGCCGGCGTCCTCCCTGCCTCCTCTCTTGATGGTCCTTTAAAGTGTTAACGGGAAGACAATTAACTGTGGCAAGGTAATCGATGTAGCAGGTCCAATTTTTTTATGCCATGGCTCAAGAGAACGTAATCTGGAATTGTATCATTGAATAAGTGGGGAAGTAGCTCTGGGGTTCCCCCGGATGATGGTATGGGTTTCCTCCCTCTCAAAGGAGCGAATCCAAGCAATGACGGGTCGGAAGACGATGGTGGAGTCGAGCTCGTGGGCTGCCAATTTTTTTACTTTCCTTTGTGGTTTCGTCAATTTCAGAGGAAGAGAAACAAGAGAGCATAGACTCCACATCAAATGGCAAGAATAACATTGCAAGCTCAACTCTATTATTAGGGGTGTACATGGGTCGGGTGGTTCGGGTTTAGTCATTTTAATCATCCGACCCATACACTACGGTTTGGGAAATATCAAATCCAAACCCACCCAAAAAAATTTAAACTCTACGGTTTGTTTCTAATTGGGTTGGGTCGGGTTGGCGATATTTTTAAGTAAAACCCAACCCAACATAAAATATATAATTATTCTACATCATAAAAATATTTTATAACTAATTAAAATTTCAAACGAATGAACCAAAGTGAAAGGTATCAAAATTCACAAATGTTATTTAAATTTTAATAAAATATGATTTACTTCAACATATGTCTTGTTTTTTTCACGATATTTGTTGAAATAGGCTAAAAATGTTATAAACAAACGCATCCATCTTATGTTATTCTATTAAAATTGTACACAAGAAAAAGGATTATGTGAACCATAACTATATTCAATTTATGTCTAAACTTTAAGTCGAAAAATGCATTAGATTAGGGAGACCATGAGAGAAAAACATGGCGAAATATCTTAATTTTCTCATAAGTATATGACTATAAACGACATAAATATTTTTTAGATCCGAACTCATACTAATAGTTGGAACACGGGTTGGGTCGGGTTCTACGGGTTGTATAATCCAAAATCCAAACCCAACCCAAAAGAGGCGGGTTGTACAAAATAAAACCTTCACCCAACCCAAAACCTTCATTTTAGCGATAAATACGGATGGGTTGGGTCGGGTTGAACGGGTGAGTCGGTTTGCGGGTGTATTTGTTCACCC